CGACATTACGACGATCCAAAAACCGGGCGCATTATGACGCCATTATGACTATACGGCAATACGGCACATGCACACACAGACACGCAGTCGCGGCGATATGCTCGACATTTTCCTTTTCTAAATCTGAACGCAGACATGGTCGATTTACGCTGTCATGTCCACTACAAGGAGATCATTACATCTCATCTGCTACGCCGTCCATTGGATGATGGGCTGACACATACAGCCGTGTATATCTATTCGGCCTATTGCCTCGATTCGAGCATGTATCATAATACTTTATATCATATATCGTACGACGCAAAGTGGGACGACCGCATACAAATTTCAGCCAAGCCTTAACCTAGCGATGGACCTCGCGTGGGTGGTTGTTAGAGGCAGAAGGGACAAGATTTATAATGGTGATGCGGTGGAAGGAAGAACATCTATTCTGCAATGTATAAACTCGACAACCTGACCATAGGCCTGACACACCAACCATGCTCTTCATAGCGTCTTGTCTGCACTGCTCCTAACCGGGTGTCATGATAAGAAATCAATCAAGTGGCAAGCATGTATACTATGCTTTGTGGTGCCTGGATTGCAGTCGGTGACGAGCCTCCACCTCAGCTCTGATCTCTTGGACTGCCTCATCCAACTCCCTTTCTGGATCCGCCGCCACACCGAGGACTGGTTCGCGCCCAACAAGGCTATCGGAGCTCAACGTACGGCCAAGCTGGATGCCTGGCCGCCGCTGGCGACTTTCTAACCCTTGCTTCAAGATCTGCTTTCCCGGAGATGCGAAGAAGCCCATCGAGACAGCCACGCCCACGATGGCAAAGAAATAGACTCGCGACCAGACCAAGACGGATCCGGAGAAGCTAAGAATGAGGAAAGGAGCAACGGCAAATGACATCACCACCTGCGTAGTGAGAAAAGACAGAACGTCGTAATACTTCTTTCTGCGGTTCGGCAGCCCGGAGTCTGGGTCGAGGAAGAAAGGGCGGACGTAGCGGCGAAAGTCTCATTCGTTAGCGGGTTGGTTGGTCTATGGGGGAATATATTGATCTGGACTTACTTTTGGCCACGGTTTGGATGAGGCTTGCCAGAATGAATGTCATATAATAGCCGGGATAGAAGCCGTGCCAAAGCGCACTGGTGCCAAATGTCATGAGGCTAGCTCGGAATCCGGGCTTCTTCCCTCGGGGTGTAACACGGAGGTATACATAGTTCCGGAGCCACTTGTTGGTATTCATATTCCAGCTGCCGAGGTAGCCGCGTACATTCTGAGCCAACTCGACGCCTCTCGGGTCAATGTTCTGTAGCCTGTTCCACGAGACTTTGCCGGTGATGGGGTCGACACCATTGTATCCGAGCCCAGTGAGGATGCATGCTCCTTCAGCCAGGGACCATGCTCCGTAGTACTTCATCCTTGCGGTCAACCCGACGCAATATAAGATCCACACGCGGCGGATGAAACCGTGCTCAAGCAAGGCCGGGTGAGTTAGCCTTGAAGGGCTGAAGGAACCGGACATGAATACGAAGAAAGCAATCCACATGAGACCAGAAGCTGCTTTCCACGCCGCTGGGGTTCCACTGCGAGGAACTTTGCGTTGCCTTCTCACCGGCGGCTTTTTCGAAGCTTCTAGATTGGGCGGTAGATCAAACATGGAAGTGTCCAGCCACCGGCGATACTCGACGTATTCGAACGTAGGACCACCGAAGAGTGAAGGAAAAAACATAACATAACCGGCGTATTCCAGCAGCGGTGGAAGCTCTACTAGCTTCCTATCCTTCTGAAGATCGGACAAGTGGTCGATGGGAAGCTGGCCATCTGCTACATTCCAGCAGAACGCGCTGAGCTTCATGACCAGTACCATCTGTGCACCAGTGATGTCGACGTCGGCCGGATTGGCGTCTAGCTGTCGAATGATCTGATTGATGGATAAGTGTCCCATTACGAAGACAAAGCCGATCCATGGCATGAAAGGACTGTGGCGAAACGTTTTTGCAATGAGATATGTCCCAGCGGAACTAATGAAAAGAGTTTGTAAACCAGCCCAGAGATTAAAGAGGCCAACAAGATAGAATATCGACGCGCTGGCGAGGGATGTCAGACAACGATGCTGTGCAAGGGCTAGCGGGAACGTACCTTATCACGTAAATGTTCTTGAGGTCAGGTCGAGAATCAGGAATGCACTTGAGAATAGCAGCCAGTGGATACGAGAGTAGCCATGAGAACACGAGCTTGACTGGTGGTAACGCATGGTCAGAGCTGTGTTTAGGGTCAGGGTGGCAGTGTACGAGGCCATCTTACTGTCGTCTGTAGGCACGCCAAGTCCTGGGGACAGGAACTCGAAGGCTGGAAGGGCAACACGTCAGCAATCTTTGCAAGGTTGGTCGGGACTTGCTCATGTTACGCTTGTTTATTAGGGGCAGCATCTTCTGCAACTGCTGGGCTCTTTGAGCTGAGGGAGGGTGTTTGTAATGAAGTTGCAAAGCTGGCGTATTCCGTGGATCCTAAGCACGAGTGTTATCACAGTGGGAACGTAGAGTCGGGCTCATCCATATCCTAGGCATGGTCTAGACAGTGTCTGTTGCGACTGGTGGGCTTGCAGGAGGATGATCAGGTTAATTTTACTGTCTATTTGGGGTCAAGACCCAGGCTTGTCCTATGACGTAAGGCCTGGCACGTGTCGCACATATTGCCCCACGCTGTCCAAAACGTGTGATAAATACAGGTAGCTATCGACAGAAGGTACCTAGCAATCGTAAGAGAAAACTAACCGGTATAAGTCTCCGTGAAGGTTATTTCTAGCAGCCAATTGACGATTCTACTCTCACGCGCAGCCTCGACTTTTGGCAAGAAAGGACCCATTCGTGTGCTCAATACAAATATTCATTGTTGCCGACGCCATCAACAAGTGCCATGAAAGCTCGAGATACGAGATGCAAAGACTACTATTCTTAATCACAAAATCTAATGGTGGACGATGCTATCCAATGACACTTAGCTTCTTCTGTGCATTGGGCTATTCGGCCTCGCCAGGATGCCCCCCGAAAGGTTGTAGCGAAGTTGTGCCGAAAGCAAACCAGCAATGCAACTTTCGTCAGCGAAAAGGTTGCGATGCAGAGTTTGATACCAACTCATGAGTTTGCGGCATCGTTGTTGCTTCTGGAACTGGCACTCATAGGCTGCGTGGTAGGTAGCGACATCTTCGATGTTGCCGTCTGCCGAACTCTCGCCCACGCGTACACAATACCACTGACAAAGCCAAGGAAAATGGCCGTTACGCTGCCAAATGTGACTGGGGCGGCAAAGAAGACCAGGCCACTAACGGCGATTGGTAGCTTGTTGAGCGCTCCCACCATTGAATATGTCGTGGATGACGTTACTCTGATACACCAAGCAGAACAGTACGAGATGAAGATGGCGCATAATCCCGAGTAGATCATGCCAACGAAGAGGCCGTTACGTGTCGCGGGCGGGAAGTTCTTCGTGAGATTTTCCGACGACCAGTCTTCTAGAAGCAGGGAGCAGACAATGAGCACCGGGATCGTAAGAAGATTGTTGTAGAACATGGCTGTTTTTGCATCCGTCAGAACAGCAAACCAATAATAATGCTCGAGTTCAAAACTTACTGTCCCAGTCTTTGAAGTTCATCTTCTTGATGACTTTGCGCATTCCCAAAACATAGGCAGCAGTACAAAACACGTTGAACCCCATCCAAGCATACCCCGCGTTAAGAGTCGACATGGCAGCAGACGCATCATGCTCCCCTACTGATCCGTAGATAGCGTGCTGTATGTCAGCCCAGGCCGCCACAACGGAGCTTAGCACCATCAAGCCAAAAGAAAGAAGGGCTAGCGGTGTCACACTGCCACCGAACCACAGAACCTCTCCATACGCAATCACGATGATCGTGAGGTTCTTGAAGATGGTATAAACAGGGACGGAGAGGAATTGAAGTGCCTTTGTGCTGGTATATATCATGCCAACGAGCAGCAACGATATGGGAAACCCTTTCCAGGTTATTAGCTCTGGTCAATCGCGACTGCAGACAGCGCGCCCACTCAAGACTTCAACTTACATTTCTTAGCCTTTTCCTGGTCGAAGGGAGCCAGGACCCGGATCATTCCCACGTTCTTGCAAATCTGTATCGTGGTGACGCAAACGATGGCTTGGACGGCCAAGTAAAAGAAGTTGAGGTTCCAAAACTTGCCCGAGACAACAAACTTGTTGACTACGGTCATACTAATGGATGAAAAGCAGTACGCCAGGATCGAGGCGCCTGGGCTGTTGTCGACCTTGTTGATCTGCGCTACCAGTGACTGTTGCTGCGGTCGCCGCGATGGAGATCTCGACAAAAATCCATCTCTTTCGGGGCCTCCAGGACTGCGGCTTCCAGCCCGCGAGGCCATGGGCCGCAACTCGAAGTCTTCGTTCTTTTTGTCCATGTTGGCCAAGAGACGTCGGGAAGGCGATCAGGATATTGATTCGGCAGCGCAATCGTCTAAGGTTGAACACCACACCACACTTAGTGAGCGTCCGATGCGTCGGGTTTCAAGGCGTCGTCAATGTGCTTTCGTTTGATGCGGTTCCGGCATGTTTGGGTGACCCCCTAATTAATGCATTGAAGCGGATTGCGCCCGTTAATAAATTCAGACGCGGATTTGTTCGGACACGCGTCCTGCCAAAGGGAGGGCCGCCCGCCTATCGATATCCCTGGAGTGGATCTTCGAGCCATCGTGTGTTTATGTAATCGCATTACAGGGCAGCGCGCGTTTCTTGCATGGCATCGTTTGTCGCGTCCGCATAACACAGCACGCCGAGATTTGTTTGCGTCGACCTGTATGCCTACGTTGTCGTCAATAAAGAACCAGTATCAGCACTAGGTTAGGAGCCGCCGATACAGTTATCATGATACAGTCCCAGATATGGGTTGTTGTCCTGATAGAACTCCTTTCTTGGTGTGCCAGATCCCACTTCGTGTACACTATGTACTAACTAAGCCTTATGTCTCTGCCACTTCCGTGCCCATGCCTAGTACGGGATGCCCGTCTCTTGTCTCAGCCTCACCCTCAAATGGCTCAGGGGCAATTGAGAAGTTGAGATGCTTCCAGTCTTCCAGCTCCTCCGTAACTGAGCGAAGTCGGTCTCTGATACTCTCTATAGCATAGCTCCCCAGCAACAGCCGAAGTGGGGGGTAAGAGCAATGAGCCAGCTGCCAAACGAGCTCAGCGCACTTTACAGCACTGGTTGGTTGCTTATCCCCCAGCCATTGAAACATCCTCTTTGCGTGCAGGGCCGGCGAGTTTGCAGACACGTAGGGTTCGCTAGCTGCTTTGATGCGGAAATGACCCCAGGTAGGCAGAGGATTCACCGTAGAGTCGGGTTCGTCCCGTCGGACCAAGCCAGGCTCGACTAATGTTGCCTTTACATTGATCGAGTCGGTTTCATACAGCATGGCCTCGACCAAGCCCTCAACAGCGTACTTCGTTGCGCAGTACGGACCGAGTCCTGGCACGCCTAACGCCCCAGACGTTGAGCTGAAGATTAAGTAGCGCCCTCCCTGCTGCTTTCGAAAGTATGGTAGACTTGCCTGGATGATGTTGAGCGTGCCCATGAGGTTGGTCTCAAACTGATTGCGAAGGTCGTGCTCATCTTGATCCTCGCAGGCACCGATAACACCGTAGCCCGAGCAATTGGCGATCACGTCAACTCGACCAAAGCGATCTAGAACCATCTTGACTGCACGTCCCACAGAATCTGCTGACCTTACATCGCATAAAGTCCCCAGAAAGTTGTCGCCGTCTGCTGCCTCGCTCATGGCCTCGACATTCGTTTCGAAAAGCCTCCCCACCGAGGCTACAAGATCTCCGCGGGACAGAGCACATTTGACAAGGGATCGGCCCATATGGCCAGTCCCCCCAAATACCTAAGGGCAAGAAGCATGTCAGTGTTCCGAGAGTTAACGAGAACGGGTAGCTAGCCTGCTAAACTTGAGGAAGAGGGTAGGTGAACGCACAGCCCAGACAAGTTGTCTTCCGGGCCGATCTACCGGCGGGGGGTCGCAGCTTGCTGGTAGGTTGAGCCTAGTAGCACAAGAACCATCGGCAACTGGAGTCGTGCTGTAATCCTTCGCCCTGGGACGATCGGGCGAGGCATCAGCACGCATATTCAGGTAAGTGTATATTTGAAGCCTAGTAGATGTGGTTGGGTCTTCAGAGCATCCGAATGATGCGCATGGCGGGCAAGTTAATAACGGGCAGCAAAAGTGGCACTCGGGGAGCTCGTTCCCAGTTTTGGGAAAAGCTGCCAACGTGAGGGTATCACTCTCCAGTAGCAACAAGGCTGTTGCGCTTTGTAGCATAACACACCACCATCATTGCATATATATGTATGCTGCTTTCTTAACCAACACTGACAGCAGTCAACCCACCCCAATATTCTCTAGCTGAGCGTCGTAGTTCTATCCATTTAAATCGGGATGACTCGTGTCAGCCCAGACGTTACCGACAAGCCCACAGACATCTGTTTCTTGCTGCCTCTCGTCCCCCCCCTTCCCCCCCCAAGCAGTGTCAGGCATACGTGTTCGGCATACGAGCCACCTGGGCAGCTCAGTCGCCACATCAGATTGCAATTGTACATGTTGAAAGGGGATGCACCGGTTCACTTCTCGCCCATCTTCCCCGCTCCTTTAAGGTCAGCTGGTTTCTGCAGGAACAAGGACATCACGTCCGAACACGTCAACCACGAGGTCGAACCTACAACTCTGTAAAACGGAGTCGTTCAGCAAAACACTGTTGACACTGCGTGCCTGCGTACATAGGCGGAGCAAGATACTGCAAGCGAAGGACGGGCCTACTGCGTCCCTGCCTGAAGTCGACTCTCGAAACCGCACGGGTCCATCAAAGGCCAGCCAGACAGTTGGACCCCTGGACACTGGCCCGCCTTCCCCCAACTTTAAGGGTGATAGCACTCCACCGTCAGCGTTTCATCCACCTCACCAACAAAACCCCAACACCAGCGATTTCTCCCCTGGTCATCTCCATCATTGGCATCTCCTCCAGTTCTGTCCTTCGGATCGCCCAATATGTCTGGCAGCCACGCCGTTGGAAACCGGAACAGCACTCCTGAAGCCAACACCGCATCCTCTCTCCGACCTCCATCCTCCCGAACGGTAGGGACCGGCCATCACTTACGAGCCTCTGCCGACATGGCTGCTCTCTCCGGATCTACTCCGTCAAACCGGATTCGCCCCTCGTCCGATTTTTACGGGCAGTCCCAACAGGGGCAAGGACAGAACAACCAAGGAGGGGACGCTCAGGACAAGATTGCCCAGCAGTGGATCGCTGACATCGATCAATATGAGACAACGCTCGAGGACATGGCCGCAGCTACGCTCGACCAGGACTTCAAGGATGAATTGAGCGCCATCGAACAATGGTTCCGCGTTTTAAGCGAAGCTGAACGAACTGCTGCACTCTATGCCCTACTACAGCAAACGACGCAGGTCCAAATCCGATTCTTCATACAGGTGTTGCAACAGATGGGCAAGAGCCACCCTATGTCGGGGGTTCTGTCTCCATCCAACTTTGACAAAGGTGAGCCCGCCACAAGCAAATTTAGCCCCCCCTCCTCTAAAGGGCATTTGACATTGCCTGTCGGTCTCATCTGGGCAGAATCCTAACTCTTTGTACGTGCTGACCTGGCTACCTTAGATCCGATGTCGAATCGCTTGAGTGACGCTATGAACAAGCTTAACGTAGACTCAGCCCGAAACTCCATGGCAAGGCCCGCCAGCACCGCTACGGGCAAGCGTTACTCGGGTCTCGATCCATCGACCATTAACGCTATGTTTCCTGATGCTGCGGCAGCTATAGCTACCGAGAAGGCAAAGTTCACACAAGAGACGGGTAATCCGCCTTCTTCGAATCGGAACAGCGCTGTCGGGGATGCTCGCTCGGCGCTTGGCGCGCCCACAATTGCAGGTCCTGCTGAGGGCCATGATCAGAACAGTCAGCCTCCCAATTCTCCGTGGCATTCGGGGGACCAAAGTACCGCTCGTCCTAAGTCCTCTGCTGGACAACCTCCGATGGGTCAATTTGTGCAACCTCCTCCATCTGCTGGTCTCCGGTCCCCTGCCCGCAACTCAACAGCAACTCAACCATCCGAGAACACAACACTGACGACTCTCTGACAAGACTACGCGATTTGCCATTGCGTGTCTCCTTACAATACGGGAAGCGGCAACTGGGCTTCAATGGTCACACGCCAATGGTACCGAATTTCAACACCACAAACCCGAATGGTTCAGGTCCTGGGGGCTCGCAAGCGGACATGCTCGCAAATGCCACCGCAATGAAGCTTGCCGCACTCTCGACCGTCAACAATCGCTTCGCTCTCGACGACGTACGAAAGTATCGGCGTGCCCGATCGAATGACGCACCGGGTGGCCCCATGTCAGCCGGTCTGTCATCCGGACAACAAGGCGTCAATATACCTGGCACGAATGTTGTGATGGTCAACGAACATGGTCAGGTCCTGAGTAGGGAGCAGATGTTGGCACTGCAGGCTCAACAGCTTCAACACGCCCAGCAGCAGAACATCGCCCTCGGTGGTCATCGTTCTCGTCCAAGCTCTCCTGGGTTAGCGATGCAGCAAGCTGGATTCGGCCACATGCCATTCACGTCTCCGCAGAACAACGGCTTTTTGAGCGCTTACGATGGCCAGCCCTCTCTGCTAAACAACGCCATTCCCTCGTTGAATGTCGGGCAATTCGGGGTTGGCGGTCATGAGGGATACCTTTCGGATCATTCTGATATGGTCCGAGGACGTTCCCCTCGAGGACGTCGAGGAAGCTCGAAACCACCCGAGGACCCCACCGACCCTACATTGTTGCAAGATATCCCAAGCTGGCTCAGAAGTCTACGGCTCCACAAGTACACTGATAACCTCAAGGACATGAAGTGGACTGATTTGATTGAGTTGGATGACAAGGCTTTGGAAGATCGAGGCGTGAACGCCCTGGGAGCGCGAAGAAAGATGCTCAAAGTCTTCGAACAAGTCAAGGGCAAGTTATTGCATGATGCGCCTTCTTCGTGAATCTTCACACTGACTTGGAATACAGATGCTAAAGCCGACGGCAAGCTCTAAGACTGGCTCAGTTGGCTAGTACGGTGCCGCTCGGCAGTGGCTATTCTCCCGAATATCCTCGTACGTGCCCATGCAGAACTTACGCAGGACGTTCACTGTACAGATAATCATAGAGTACCTTATGGTGGCTGGTTCGGAAGGTGTAGAACATGGAAGAGGGGGTTTGACACAGGCAGACAATTTTCCTAGGTACCTTGTGCAGGTCACCACCACATTACAATATTTACCTACCTAGGCAACTGGCTCTTCCCTTGTAATACGGACAGTGTGTTCTACACGTGTGTGGGTAATTGGCGTTGGCGGCCAATCAGGTCCACCTTGGCCTGTAAGTGGGTACCTCAGGTACCTAGTGTACCGGAATTTCGGTACCCTGACACTCTGACGGCATGGATTTCAGCTGGTGCAGATGTGCTTGTCTACTGCCCACGTACATTCCCAACACATATGGCGACATGCATATTACATCCAGTATTGCGCACAGCTCTCCATGAGACTCTAGCACAGGCCTCGATTGGATCTGTGTCACAGTCTGATAAGGCTTCAACTTTCTTCCTTCTTCCCGCATCAACCAGGTTCAACACCGGTCACTACTCTATCGACATCTTAGTCTTGAATAGATGACTCAACTGGTGTGTCTGACATGGACCTAATCGGACGACGGCTAGGCCTCGATGATCAGCTCCAGGAAGATGCAATCTCGGACGCTGACTCTGATGAATTAGAGCTCCGGTTGGAAAATGCTCGTTTTGAACAGTCCGTCCAGGCTTTCCTGGCTTCGTATCGAGACCCAGATGAAGATGAACCCTCTTCAAGAACCAAAAGAGGGAAGTCAACGGCTGGACGGCACTCTCGCACCAACCGAAAGGAACTGGAGCCCCGTGCTGATATCAAGCTTCGGTTGGCTGAGGTCAACAGGACCTTCCTCAATGGCGACTATCCCGAGGCAGAGCGAAGAATACATGAGATCATTAGGATAAATGCCGAGACGTACCAGGCATGGATGACATTGGCGACTATTTGCGAGGAGCAGGGTAGAGATTCCGATGCGCT